GCTTTGAGGAACATGCTAAAGTGGCACAGATTTTCTTTTGTTTAGTACACACGTGTTAAACGCGCTAAATAACAAATTTAGCAGTAATTGAAAGTGAAACTATCGCAATCTTTTGTTAACTTTCATTTATTCAACAAAATAGTGAAACGTTAGAACATTTTTTATGTTCGCAATGAAGAGCTATTCTTTTGTTCATCACTTTGACATAGAACTGAAAGAGTGCAAAGTAGAAAGTCCGGCGGTATTATCTGTCGACTTTTTTGAGCAATTGTATAAAGAATTAAGAGCTGTAAATACATCATTAATTTTACGAGTTACGCAGAAAACGCGAACAGTATACATAGTTTATAAAAGTATGTATAATGTCAACAGCAAAATGCACATCATAATATTTAGAGAATAAAAAAAAATTCCTCTTACATGTCATTTTTAAAATTGATATTAAGAACATTTTATTTTGCATACAAAACCGCAATCTAGAGATCACAAATCAGTATAACAAAGAAATGATACAGATTTCATAGACGAAGCGATAGTTCACACAATGAGTTCTCCGAAGGTATAGAAATGAGAGCACGAAACGATTATTTCAACGGTTTCACTTTAGTTGAAAGGGCTATCGCGGTTTTCACGAACCAATGCTCGTTGCACAAAGAAAATTATGTCTAACATCATTTTACTTTAGCTGAAAACGTTTGGACATTCTTACATAAGTAATAAATAAGTAATTTCGTTTATTAAAAGTGCTTTGCTAGGTGGTAATCGAATAAATTTCGCTGACCCAATTTGTTGTCCAGATTATTTAATAATTAACACCGCGAACGGCCAGAATGTACGTTAGCGCGATCGAGGAGGCGAGTTTGGCATTCCTTCAAAGGTACGCCGACAAACGATCATCTTAAATATCTTGTCTTAAGACGTGTGCTCATACCTTTCACTCATTCCCTATATTCTTCTGATTTCCCACGGGCGGCCTTCTCTATACATTGCGAATAGAGTTTGCGCAACAGATTGTATTACTTATCGCATATGAGGGTGATATTCCTGCATAATGCATATTATATCTCTCTGGTTTTATCTAGAACGATCAGACTGCGGATTTTTATACAAATTAAAATATTTTTTATTTGAAATTAAAAGTGAAATCCAAATTGACATTATTCTTTAAAAATAATGATACGTATTAATATCTGTCTTTTATGTTTCTTACAGTTTGCGCTACATATATTCACGTTATTTTCTGTACAATCAATTTTTCTTTGAATTCCTGAAATCCAAAGTCTGATAACGACATTTATGTACCTTTCTTCTAATCTTTGCGGTTTTCTAGAATTAAAAAAATACGGGATGAGAAGAACGAAGTGCCTAATGACTTTCTGAACGAGGTTCACAAATGGTCCCTGGAATGTAAGTAATAAAAATAATCTACGGTTTCAGAAATTCCATTAGTAGAATAAAAAATTATTTCTTTATTTAAAAATATGGGACGGGAATGTCATAAATTCTTTTTATAGTTGTTATATATCAGTTACTATTAGCAGTACCACAAAGTCTATAGATTTCAATAAAAAAGAGATAGCAAAATTTGAAAACGTATTGAGCGATTAGGAAAAATACATAGAAGCGTCTATTATTGCATTGATAACCATAATCTTAAAGTTTTCCTGTGTATTCAAATCTCATATGAATTATTAACTAGCAAGAAATGTTCGATAGCGTACAAAATTTATAAGCGATAAAGTTGTGACATAGCAATCATTTTTTTAAAGGTCACCGCACACCTGCTGTAGTATTAATAACAGTACTTGACATACTTAGTACAATAATGTATTCTAAGTTGCAATTTTATTAATCAGCTGTTTGCTTCTTTGTTGGTAAAAAGTGAAAGCTGTCCCGAATTCTCAATAATTATATATTCGATAGATTCGATTCGTTGCCTAATTGTGGAAATTGTTGAAACGCTTAATGGAACAATCCTTAAAAACGTTCTCCGGATTAATGCTCGCGCAATTTTCTCTTACAGCAATCGCGCGTGTAGCGCTAGACGTTCGCCTCGGTTGTTTAGACGACGACGCGAATGTAGAAACTCAGCAATTAATCGACGCGGTCACAACGTTCTTCAAGAACGTAGGTGTACTCGAACTGAAGATACCGTTCTGGAAATTGTTCAACACGCCTACGTGGATTCAATACGTGAACGCTCTCGATACCATTGTTAGGTGAATCGAGCAGAAAAATCATTTTCTTTATTTCAAACTCAGTATTTTTAATTTTTTCTGTAGAAATGTAATTCTCATGTATAACACTAAATTATTCGGATTTGTGGAATAATTTTATTCAGAAATATTATTTCGATTTCTAGTACTACGTCCAAATATACAGGGGCAGCTCTGTCTAGGATAAAGGAAACGGGAAACAACAGAAGGAATATATTAATAGAATAGCAGTTTCGTTCTTATTTCTAATAAATAATTTATTATTAACATTGGACATGGGTCAAGGAATAATCGGTTGAAATTGAACCAGTTTCTAAATAACTTTTGTATCTAACAATAAGTTCAACATTTATTTTTCGACTTGGGATCGTTTCCGTATTTCCTGTATCGCTTAATGTATTTGTACAGTATAATTTACGAATAACAGAATACTCATATATTGTTATGTAAAACTGAAAAGCTGCATAATAGAAATTGAACGAACAGTACGTTGTGTTTGCTTTCACGTATGAGTCATAGTATTTGCATGCTGTGCTAAGAAGTTTAACGGACAAATATTGAAATTATCAATATTTTAGCGGTATTGCTTAACCCGTTCGTTTAACAAGTCATTGAAGTAGCAAATATTTACTCAAGTTATAACGTAGGTACATGCTACAGCATCATCAGCCGTCAGTGAATGATAAAAATAGAATACTTGAACATCTGATTGTTATTCATAAATATTAGTTTATTCATTTCACTAACCCGATTTGTTTTATCATTTATTTTTACAAACAAAAATCGATCTAACGATTTCTTCAAAATCTTATATAAATTACATTTTATTAATAATTAGCATTGTCCTTTTATTAGTATTGACCTTGATAGAATAGCTGAAAAATCTTATTGTTACAATTTTGTAAAAAAATAAATTATCCAAAATCTAATTATAAAAAAACATACAAATAGATTGCGCAAAAGATTGCACAAACGCAATGCCGACTCGCACGCTTATTCGCGTGTCGGCAATTCTTCTATTGAAAAAATAGGAAACTGGTTCCTGGATGTTTTATCCATACGGGGGTGCGTTGCGTTATACACGCTATGCACGTTATTTCGCTAACTAAATTGGTTAGAACTTACAATTAGATCACTAGAAAGTGAGCAGTGGTTGCACAATCGGATATTGGTGCACGTTACTCGATCGCTTCCCGAATGACAACTTCGGCTGCAATTGCATGTTTATCGCACGCCCTCCTTTCCTCATATTCTACTGACTTCAAATTTTGTACCACTTGCATGTATTAATTTTTAATTACTTCCGCACACTAACGAGACGTTGCTCTGATTGTTTTGCATTTTTTATAGTGATGTCCATAAATAATCGTATACATGTCAAGATTGAATAACTTTTAATACCACACTTAACAAATCAATTTTTGCTATGTATTAGAGAGATTAGTGAGCATAATACAAAATTGCATAGAATTGCTACAGATCGGATTTATGAAAAAATGTAATGTAAATTCACGATTTTATTTCTCTATCTTTAATCACGTAAACTCTGAATTGATAAAGCCTTTTATTTTTTCATATCAAAGATAAGACAATTTTTACGTAATTACATAAGTATAATATAGGTGAAAATTATTAAAAGAGAAGAGATGAGAATTGCAGGTAAAAGTTGAGAAAATTAAATGAATGTTTGTGCGTAGGCATGGCGAGGACTGGTACAATTTTCGTAGCAAAGTGCAGCAAGTTATGCTGCAACCGCGAACGGCCAGAATGTACGTTAGCGCGATCGAGGAGGCGAGTTTGGCATTCCTTCAAAGGTACGCCGACAAACGATCATCTTAAATATCTTGTCTTAAGACGTGTGCTCATACCTTTCACTCATTCCCTATATTCTTCTGATTTCCCACGGGCGGCCTTCTCTATACATTGCGAATAGAGTTTGCGCAACAGATTGTATTACTTATCGCATATGAGGGTGATATTCCTGCATAATGCATATTATATCTCTCTGGTTTTATCTAGAACGATCAGACTGCGGATTTTTATACAAATTAAAATATTTTTTATTTGAAATTAAAAGTGAAATCCAAATTGACATTATTCTTTAAAAATAATGATACGTATTAATATCTGTCTTTTATGTTTCTTACAGTTTGCGCTACATATATTCACGTTATTTTCTGTACAATCAATTTTTCTTTGAATTCCTGAAATCCAAAGTCTGATAACGACATTTATGTACCTTTCTTCTAATCTTTGCGGTTTTCTAGAATTAAAAAAATACGGGATGAGAAGAACGAAGTGCCTAATGACTTTCTGAACGAGGTTCACAAATGGTCCCTGGAATGTAAGTAATAAAAATAATCTACGGTTTCAGAAATTCCATTAGTAGAATAAAAAATTATTTCTTTATTTAAAAATATGGGACGGGAATGTCATAAATTCTTTTTATAGTTGTTATATATCAGTTACTATTAGCAGTACCACAAAGTCTATAGATTTCAATAAAAAAGAGATAGCAAAATTTGAAAACGTATTGAGCGATTAGGAAAAATACATAGAAGCGTCTATTATTGCATTGATAACCATAATCTTAAAGTTTTCCTGTGTATTCAAATCTCATATGAATTATTAACTAGCAAGAAATGTTCGATAGCGTACAAAATTTATAAGCGATAAAGTTGTGACATAGCAATCATTTTTTTAAAGGTCACCGCACACCTGCTGTAGTATTAATAACAGTACTTGACATACTTAGTACAATAATGTATTCTAAGTTGCAATTTTATTAATCAGCTGTTTGCTTCTTTGTTGGTAAAAAGTGAAAGCTGTCCCGAATTCTCAATAATTATATATTCGATAGATTCGATTCGTTGCCTAATTGTGGAAATTGTTGAAACGCTTAATGGAACAATCCTTAAAAACGTTCTCCGGATTAATGCTCGCGCAATTTTCTCTTACAGCAATCGCGCGTGTAGCGCTAGACGTTCGCCTCGGTTGTTTAGACGACGACGCGAATGTAGAAACTCAGCAATTAATCGACGCGGTCACAACGTTCTTCAAGAACGTAGGTGTACTCGAACTGAAGATACCGTTCTGGAAATTGTTCAACACGCCTACGTGGATTCAATACGTGAACGCTCTCGATACCATTGTTAGGTGAATCGAGCAGAAAAATCATTTTCTTTATTTCAAACTCAGTATTTTTAATTTTTTCTGTAGAAATGTAATTCTCATGTATAACACTAAATTATTCGGATTTGTGGAATAATTTTATTCAGAAATATTATTTCGATTTCTAGTACTACGTCCAAATATACAGGGGCAGCTCTGTCTAGGATAAAGGAAACGGGAAACCGTGACAAAGAGCCATCGCTTCTGGAAAGAGTATTGGCGCTAGAAAATGATACCAAATTGGCTACAATACTGTCCCTTGATTTGTTTTTAGTCGGAATCGACACGGTAAATATTTCTATTAAATTTAAAGACAGAATAATAAATTTTAAACCTTAAGTAATTATATCAAAGACTTGTTTACAATTATATGTACCATTATATATACATTTATTCAACTAAAGAATATTTATAGACTTATTAAAAAATGTAACGTAAATGGATAAAAGATTAGAAGAAAACCGGTACTAATTCTAAACCTCGTGAGCCAATTCATATAACGTATTAAATGAATACTTTCACTTTCAGACTTCAAGCGCGGTCGCGTCGACACTGTATCAATTAGCATTACATCCTGACAAGCAGGATCTCGTGTACGAAGAAGTATGCAGCGTGATTCCGAGCGAGCAGATGCAGCTCGAGGGGCGTCACCTGGATAAGCTGAAATACTTGAAGTCTTGTATTAAAGAAACCTTAAGGTTCGCTTAAGCTTTATCGTTTAATCTCGACTGTTGAAGTTCTCGTTGAAGTTTTTTACGTGTTAAGCCTGAGATTTTAATCTGAATGGTGTATCCTAATTTCATGGCTTATCAGGATCTATTGATCCGGAGATGTATGTAACAGTAAAAATAACAAAATATACTTTCTTGTCTTGTATTATAAAGAAATACATAAAAACTTCAGTAAATTTTATTATATAGAAATCGTAAAAGTATTATTTAAAAGTTGCTCTTATTAGGATGTATCCGGTTGTCATCGGGAATGGACGATGCATGACCAAAGACACAATTGTTAAAGGATACCTCGTGCCTAAAGGTGTAAGTGATAAATATAATCTTTCATTATTTTCAACTTTTTGTTTTTGTTATAGCTATTATATTAAAATGGCTCATATGTCTTTGTTTACAATGGATAGGTGCAAGTGGTTTTCCAGCACTACGTGATTAGTAATTTAGACAAGTATTTTCCACGCAGCAACGAGTTCCTTCCGGAAAGGTGGTTGCAAAGCGACGGCGACGGCGTGCGTCATAGCTTCGCATCTCTTCCGTTTGGCTACGGGAGAAGAATGTGTCTCGGTCGACGTTTCGCTGAGCTCGAAATGCTAATCGTCATCAGTAAGGTAATTATCTATGTTTTAAGCAACATCATACCTAATCAATTTCAAGGCTCAGAATTCTAACTAGGACTTTATTATTCCATTTGCTTCTCTTCTCGATTTGCAATTATAATTTAGAGAATTTTATTCTCAATTCAAAATCATACTGTATTTTTACATATTGTATTATACTGAATTAATTTTATGCAAATTTTGTTTAGAAGCGATAAAAATGGGTGACCTTAAACTTTATAGTTGGCACAGAAATCTTCCAATTATTCTATGAAAGTGAAACGTATACGTGATCACGATATGAGTAAATAGAAAAGATCGTATAGTTTTATAACTGCTTTAGGCTTGCTGCTTAACTTTGACTAAACAGGTATTCCGTTAGTATGCGAATGGTCACAGTGGGTGCCCAGAGACAATAAACGCCTTATCCGTCCTCTCTCTTTCATTACACGACACGGTCACGGTATACCTGCTCAGTTATTATTATTCCTCTACTGCTTCTGCGATTGCTTTACCGGGTAGTACGAAACATGTAGAATACTTACAAGGTTCTGTCCTTTTTTTTTATCAATTATAGCATGATTCGTTAATATTATTAACAAATCTTCTAAGCGTATTGATTAAAATGCTTTTTTCTTACACTGGGTTTACAATTACTTGCAATGATATCGATAAAAAATACTTTAGCTAACGGAATCTGGATTAATTTCTTTGCACATAAATTTTTCGTTTTAATTCTGTGAATATGTAAACGAGATTAGAGAAACGTTAAATAAAACTTCGCAACAGAATATTCATTACAACTTGCATCATTGAAGAGCATTAGGGAGAACGTTATAATCCTGGCTAGGTAATATTAATTTTCTCACGATTTCATCACTCTTGCCGGTATTTAAATTCCTAACAAGAAACCTCTTATTAATACCTTTCGTGATGTCAGACTCGTCTAGTTGTTAGATATGAGTAATGTTTTATTAGGATTTATTGAAAGGCTGCTGTGAAAATTCGAGATTGCTATTATAAAACAGAATAACAAATGTAAAAGCTTACCTATGCTGTAGTATAAATATTCATTTCACACGTTTATTCAAAGGAAAATTATTTCAATTTGAAGAAAATGTAATCGAAATAGTTAAAATACACTAAGATTAGAAGTGAGATAATAGATGCTGTCCACTAAGCTGGAAGAACGGTACTTCCGCAATAAATTTTCGTCACGTTTTCGTCATATTACGGCCTGACGGTAACACTAAAAAAAATAGCTTTCTGCAGCGGTAATAGACACATAATTCCAAATACTCGTCCTCGGGTTATATTGCAGGCACTTTTTTCCCTCGAAGTAGGAAATATGACAGCCGATTGGAAGGTAGAAGATACCTGGGATTTTGGGATTTTTACAAAAAATACGGACTAGTCATAGGAAAATTACATTATACATTACATATTTAAAGTAGTAATAATAATTTATTTATATTTATACATATACGACATTTAACATTATACATATACTTCTGTAAGATTAAGTAGTATGTACGTAGGATAAATTTTTGTAAACGAGTTTGAACAATGAAATCTGAATACGTGTATTTTTCATTGTTCAAGTATTGATATTCAATTTCATATTATTTCATACACATTTATATATGATATCGTATATTTGTATGCACTTCATTCTTACACATGCAAATTTCAATTTACAAAGAAAAAATACAGAAATAACTTTTTTCGTTGCAGATTTTACAACGTTACAGAATAGAATATCATCATGAGAAGCTGGATTATTACATTAATCCCATGTACACGCCGAAAGGACCATTGAATTTGACGTTCATCGATAGATAGTGGTCTTCAAATTCATACGTTCGATTGTAGTAAACAAAACAATAAATGTACAAATAAATTATTCATTTAGGCAGACAGTTTATTCGTTTGTATTTGTATTAATTGCTTAATAGCTATCTCGGTAGTACTTTGAATTTGAGCTCTCCATGTGGAGCGTACATGAACGTGACATTGTATTTCAATGGTTTGTGATGGTACTCCAATTTGTAAGATCTTATCAACTGAAAATCAATCAAAATTAAAATTATTTTACAATACACGTAGGCTGAGCCTATCGAGCATTTTATATTAGAATATATTTAAATAATTCATAATGTTAATTTACAAAACATGTGATTGAACAAATATTTTGCATAAAATATAAATAAATAATTGTGCTTCGAGAATATTGTACACATACCTTAGCCAATAAAACTTGCATTTCTAAGTCAGCGAATCTTCTACCTAAACACATGCGTGCACCATACCCATAAGGAAGCGATGCGAACGGATGCAAGGTTTCGTTCGACGATTGTTTGAGCCACCTCATCGGCTTAAATGTCTTTGCATCTGTTACATATTCTTCCATATTTCCTGTGACCACAGTTGGAAACACCACTTGTACCTATGTTAATACAGTAACGAATGAATGAGAAAAGAATGCTGTTTAAAAGTGAACTCTCGTTAAAAGCTACTTACTCCCTTCGGTACTTTGTATCCACAAATGATAGCATCTTGTTGCAACGTCCTACCGTTACCAATGACCGTGGAATAGACTCTAAAGAAAATATTTATGAAGAAAAAGAAAACATCCTGCAGCTAATCTGCTGCAAATCTGCTTCCAATCTGATTCTAATTACCAAATACCATAAATAAATTAATTTTACCGAAAAACTTCACGAATGAACGCTTTCATATAAACAGCTTTATCTAGATGACTTGTCGTGAGAGGTACAGACGGATCAGGTAGAATTTCTACGAGTTCCTGATAAATCTTCTCCTGTTCTTCAAGCCTAGTAGCTAATTGATACAATATCGAGCAAACAGCCATAGAAATCTGTAATATAATGCCCGTAATTAAATTAGGATATAAAATAATTGGCGTATTATTAAAGTATAATATAGGAATTGTTAGAACACAATATAAAAGAGCAAGAGTATTATCTTGATTACGCACTGTGTCTATTCCAACTAAGATCAGATCTAACGCAAGTATGTAAGCCATTTTGGGATTGGTTTCCTTAGCTAAAATTCTTTCGACGAGAGATAAATCGGACTCATCCACCGTCTTCTTGGTTTTCAGTCTCTCAACTGCTGCATCGATGTACTTCATGCAAACTCTGTGACATAGAACATTTATGTATATGTATATCAGATTATTATTATTCACTTTATGAACATTAAAATGTATTTAAATCTATATAAAAAGATAGATTAATGAAAATGTTCTATTAGTTCGAATCTCTAAGTGTGATAGGTTTGAATATGATTTTATTAAAATGGAAAATTACACTAACTCGACAAAAAAATCCATGTTTCGGACGTATCGCGACCAAAGCGGAGTAGGTACGTATCTCCAGTAAGGAGCTTTTAATTCAAGTTCGGCCACGTTTCTCAAAGCGAATTTCGCCGCGTCTATAATCTTTTGGGGTTCCGAATCCGGAGCCAGATTACCCTCTAAGCACCCTAATCGCACGTCCAGAGCGACGCGACCTATACCTGTACAAGTAAACAAAATATTGTCGCTTAACGTTTGATTGTTCTTTAAAATTCGAAAATTAAAAAGTTGTAGTATCTATACCAACACTCTAGAGCCCATTTATGTATTTCATTATCAAAATCCCCGGGAAGTTCATCATCTTCTCTTTTGATCTCCTGGATTCTAAAAATAAAATTCACACGTTTCATAATCTTATATAATTTCTCTACATTCCATACAGGTGCGTTTAATGCGGATTATTTTTATGAGCTGTAGAGATAAAAATAATCTTGAAAAAAGTAAATTAAGAGGCACATCTTTAATAGAAAAATTCTTGTGGGAGAAGTCCAAAGGTTGACAAGTTCTAAAAAAAGATTGTCGAAGATAATCACCTTTTTATAAAGTCAGAGGTGACCGTCTCGATGGGTGTTATATATTTCCTAACTGTTTGGGGTTGCAGAACAGGTTTCTGTACTCTCGTACGAAATTCTCGCCATAGTTCGCCGTGACTGCAGAGAAATGTACACACACATACGATGTTAACTCGTTAATGATTGATCTCAAGGTCGAGGAACATTTTGAAGTCGTTTCACCATGCCAAGGTGAAGATGAATTTTACAAAATTTCTGTACCATCGTTCGCCTATTTGTGTTTATTGATGAGTCATGAAAACTATTTAGAACCATGATTCTATATGTATACACATGACTTGAAGGATATGAAGTATAAAAAGAATTTGCAAAGTGTATTGATTTAAGAAGTTAAATAAAAATTTCCTATCATTTTCTAAAAATTAATGACTGAATAAAAGATTTTTGAATTTATTGAATCGTAAAAATGAATGATGAAATTCCACTCCTGAGGATGGAAATGGGGTAAAACGTATTTCTCTTTGTTTTAAAAATATCGCAGGCTAGGCCGCGACAAGGAATGCTAGTCATATGTGTATAATTATAGTTACACTCCGACGACGCCTGGTAAGTCCCCGAAGAACTCCTTCCTGGCGACGCTCTTGTAGTGCACGAGGCACGGCATCGACGGCCTGAACGGCGTCGGTCCCTCCTGCCTGTAGATCTTCTCGATCTCGTCAGCATCGTAAACGAACAATAAATCCGGTCGACCTATCAAACCAGTTAAACGTACGATCTTCCCGTATTCGTCATAAAACATTTGCGACACTTTGGCGGTATCTGATATTTGATACTGGCCGATCACCGGGAACAGCCGCCAGGTATTCCCTAAAATTGGTATCGGTTTCGGCCCCGGTATTTCCTCGTAGGACCGCGCTTGAATTGCATCATGGTCGACCGTGCAATCTCTTGTCGAAGCCACTGCACCTACGACATGCAATGCAGACGCGACGGTTGACCATTGGAAATCGAATGCGTCTCGAATTCAAAATGAAGGTGATCAAGTAGCTAGGCGTTTATTTGAGGAAATCATTCATTGTCAGTATAGAATCGTGCTTCAGAAGTATTTATAAACTAGCATATTATGTTAGAAATATCATAAGCACCTTTAATCTATAACATATCTCATTAATTTCATGAACGTAGGAAAGCGATCATTTGTCATTTGTCTAAGTACCTGAACATAAACCTCTTCGAAGATTGTCCTTTGTACGTGAAAGTTGACGTATCAAGGCGAATTGTACTTGTTGATTCATTCTGATGAAAAATAATACAAAGTTTATTAGGTAATTATACTAAATAAAGAATGTTAAGTAAATACTTAAAGAAGGAAACTCAAGGAGATAATTAAAAATATTAAAATAAAAAAGGAAAGTAATTAATATTAGTATTAAATATGCATGTTATATTGCAATGAAGAGAATTTTGTAAGATCCATTGATTTTTGAAGTCTTTATCTTTTACACCGTCGTATTTCTTTAATATTGCACTGCTTGCATGATCATTAAAAAGGAAATCCGCTTTCACTTTCGTTTCTCGTAATTGGTGGCCTACTCTCTTAATTTGCAGAAAAGGTTCAGTAATTATATGTTTGTTACAAGAAAACATGAACATTATGAAACTTTTTCTTCGACTTCCTGTATTCATATATTAGACACGTTTGAAATTCAAAACTAATTTACGATCACGGCATGTTTAAAATTTAAAATTAAAAGAAATACATTCCTGTCTTTTCTTTGAAACTATTCAAAAAATTACTTGATGTACATATAGATACTTCTATAAATTAAGTTTTCATAAATTTAATACATTTCAATTATTTCACATAAACACTGCAATATTAGATGCACTGTAATATTAAACACTGGTACTGTAGCGACGCAGGTGCAAGTAGCCACCGATCACTGACGGAGGTAATAAAACCTTTACCTGGAGCGCATTTGAAAGCCTTTCTCCTTCACCTTCTGTTTCAGCTATCCCGTTATAGATTTCGTCAACGGCACTAGCAGATCGGACTCGGTTGTCACAGCATTATAAATTAATTTAAAATAGTTTCTAACAACTTTCTTTACGACTAAGAGAATATTTTTTAGGAACGAGTTATTTGGCTGATTTTAAAATGAAACGGATGCACCACGAGGACGTGGTGAACGAGACTCTTGGTAAATCGAGACCACACAATCTAACTAAGGTGAACTCCCCACTTCGAAATCTCCCTCCATTGGTTAACGGTACGAATTCTCCATGCTCTGTGGAGGAATCACCACGGTGTGTTCCTCAACGAAAGTACTTACTACACTTTACGTACGTTGGATATGTCGTCACTTTCTCGATTTTAATTCGCCGCGAGTATAGAGAAAGGCGTTGAGAGTCTGTACCCTGGAACTCAAACGTCTAACCGTTTGCTTCAATTAGTAATAATTGCAAATGAAAGTGCATTAAAATAACAAATAATGCATGATAAGGCAATAATGGATCAGTGCAAAAGTTCATGCCTTTATTGAAATAAAATATTATTTCATTCACATCATTTAAATTTTGTGGTAAAATTTTTTCAGTGAGTCACCCCTATTTCATCTGATTCTTTTTACAAGCAGGTGGACTCTTTCGTATAAATTACAAGATCGATTAGATCAAAGTTGATCGTCCAAATCAAAATCATTACTTTTAAATCGAACAAATCATTTTTTTACTTCTTGGAAAGCAGGGGTACAGTCCAAATACATATACAATCGGAACGTTTTTTGTTACACTTCTAATATTTAGACCGTTTTGCAACTCGTACAATATAACATAGCGAAAATGAATTTTCGTTTCTTCATATTGAAAAACCACTCTTATGCACAGATCAAACTAAATCAACAGTGTCTAAGATCCATAAAGGTACTATCTTTCGATAGGTATGTAATACAATGGTAATGCAAACATTTATATTGAAATACGATGAGGTTTGACCTGCCTCTAAAAATCGAAGACGAACGCTTATACTAATAAAATACATATGTTTCCCCCAAGCTATTTATCTTTTGCCATAAAAGACACGGCTACTAATTTCTGTGTACATAAAATTTACTACCCTTGACTCTATAAAATCAGGTCAATGTTTCCTGCAATCTTTTTCATACAAACTCTTCGAATCTCATCTAATCATCGTAAATATCCCAACCGGTTTCGTTTGTTAGCATATTTCACGGCCAAACTTAAACGACGTTGCATAAGACTATATGTGTGTATGCAGAATGCAGATGCAACATGTTGAAACTAGGCACACGGTGCAATTAACATTTAATCTGTCAATCTATTCTTATCTATATTTAAGAGGCATGCGATTCAGTAATGAAGCGGACTTTTGTATATTAATTTATAATATGCAAATTAATATAAATGTGCAAATATATGTTGTTCGTGCACGATAGTTAAATATTATTTTTGACGAAAGGGACTGTAAATGAGTACCTAGAGTGAAATTCGTGGACCTCCGCCGAGCTAAGCAGGTAAAATTTAGCCATTTGAAGATTTATTACAGCCTGTATTATCTGTTTTAGTACAGGCAGGGACGGTTTAGAGGTGACCGTGGATTATCCTCGTTGCACAGTCGGGTCTTTCCCTGCCTATAATTACTTTCTTCGCGTCCCGCAATATGAACATTTTCCGAGCGATTGGTTTTACATCAGCTATAAACTTTTACTTCTAAATATACCAAGCAGCGTTTTCAGTATATTTCATTTTACATGGTGCTTTTTAAAGTAGACACTCGCATCAAGCGTACTTGTAGTTAGTATGTCAAGCAAATATTGAATCGTTAGAATCTAGTACTAACGACTGTAATTTGCATATCCTCTGGAGGCGAGAATTTGTAATTATTTCGGTATGCAGTAATCGTTTCGATAATTATAAAGAAAAAAATTGTTTCTAATTATTTTAATATATAGGAATATATAATACGAAATAATTTGTAATATAAGAGAGTATAATTATAGTTTTTTTTAACAAATTCATATTTAATTTCACATTTCAATAATTATGAGAACCACTGCACTCTTAAACACCTCCAAATCCAGCTGTCTAAATGCTGAAGTGCAATAAAGTTGGGAAGTCCGGCCCGGTAGAATTAGCCTCTTAGACTTAAAATACAACCCCGGCGGACAGTGTAATCCTCATCCTCGGGTACAATAATTACACTCTATCCGCCTGGAGAACCTACGAAATCCCTTGCGTTCAGGTATCGGTACCTCAACGCGAAGCTTGTTGCAAATACAATGTACGGGTAATATTTTTTATCTTTCAAAAAATTTTGAACTACGCATCTTTGAAAAAGTATTTGAATAAAATATTGATTTTTGTAATGTATAATACCTGACAATGATTATAATAATAACTGTAATGGTAATTATGGAATAATAATTGTTATGATAACTGTGGAATAATAACTGTAGTGACAATTGTAATGACAGTTACAATTGATTAAATATTTAACAATTAAAACAAATAAATACTTGTATTTATTCTTACAATAATCTTCTGTTTAATAATATGTACATTGAATTCTTCACTAATATTAAATACGTAATTCATAATTGAGATATTAGATAATAATTTAATTATGATTTCATATTTGATTAAGGACATTCGTGTAAGAATGCGTCCTCTTGCACCTTATTTTTTACATTTACAGTAGATGTTAATTGAAATGCACTTGTTACGCAATATAATGACAACATTACTTTTAGCCTTTATTTTCAAATAAAGAGGAAAATCATTGATCCTCAAAATATGTTTATACGCATTGCGCTCATTGTGTAATTAATGAATGCAAGAAAATGTTGCGCATTCCTTTATTTAAATTTTTTATCCCACTATTTATTTAACTGTAATTGTCCTTATACATATAGTCGAATCCTGCTGCAACCAACGCGGCACTGGTGCTCCTCATCCCCTTCCATTTACCCTAGTAGTAGGGGAGGGTTGAACCGCGGCTATATTAGGAGGCTCGCAGGGGTTGACAGGCCATTTGTGACAAAGTGTTCAGAACAGTTGGCGAAGAATCTATGTTTCTGTACGAATTCTATTTCATTTACGTTTCGAACTTGATTGCGTGACGTGATAGTTCGCAAACACGCGAATGTGCCCGTTCAATCGCCGACGAATAGAGTCAAACGCGTTCGACATTTTGTTCAAATTGAATTTTTAATTCAATCTTGTGGTGATTGTAATTGCAATTGGAAATGGCTTCGCCGGTGACGTGGATTAGAAACAACATGTTGTTCTCACCTGTAAGTGATTGCTTCAATTATTTTATTCATTTAATTTTGATAAAGTGTTCGTTTTAAAAAACCGCGAGTTTTAAATATTGAAAACGTCGATAATATTTTTTGTAACTCTAAATCAATTAGATTAGTGAATATTTAATGCACGAATATTCAATAATAATATATAAAAATAATTGGAGCTTATATAATAACATCTACATGGTAGCGATTTAGAAATATTAATGATAGGATAGCGTTTAGAGTATTGACCTTGACATGGAACGTACACAAATGTAGAGTTACGGTAGTTTGCTTGTTATGTCTTCACAGTTTCTCATTTCAACCAATTATCGACTTTAAAATATGCATGCTCACGTAGAAAGTAAAAGTTCCTTTAACACTAGGTTTATGGACGTTGATCATATACACTTTTTTACTGAAATCCGACTTTTTGACGGGTATATTAAAATGCAATTTTTTTGTAAATTATTTATTTAAACTGCAGTTCATTCTGACACATCTTAGAATATACTACAAGCTGGTATTCTATCACAGCCTCTACATTTCTCTAGTGGTTTCTATCAAGTTCTATCAACGGCCTTTATCCTCTTCCTCCATCCTATCCGCCATTTTCACTTTTCCCTTTTTATTTATCCCTAATCTTCTGTTTTCCTTCTCCAACTCCTTTATTCCCTCTATCATTAACTTCTTCCTCGATGTCCTGCCTCTCTCCTCGTGCTGCTCTCATTAGCGCTTTCCTGTTCCGTATTTCTTCCTTCCCCTCCTCCCCAACTATACAGTTCGGGATCCCCTGTCCAACCGCGAAATCCACTTTATATGCTTCCTTTTCACTCTCTGTAGACCCTATATAGTTCTCCCGCGAATGAAATTATTATTTGAATAATTAAAAATAATGTTCGAACTTATAAAAATTTTTCTTTTCTCGAGTTTCATTCAACAATTGAAATACATTTTTATTTCGTCTCAGCAGGAAAGGAAACTGACTGAAGCTGAATTGAAAGTTCAGAAATCTCTTCAGAAGCTTTCAATCCCAGAATGGTATCTGAACAAACGCACAAGTCCACCGAAAATAAGGAATATGACGCCGATTGGGTATCGTCCACCGGCATGGAGATATTCTGTGCTTCCGACCAGCGTTACTCTCAAATCGACATCGTGCATACCATCAGGTACTTATGAAAATTCAATCTAGTAACTCAGAAATTTAATTTTTTTAATATTGATCGTATTTATTGTTTAATAGGTTTTTGAAGCTTCGAAATTCCTAAACATATATTTCATTCTATCCTACCCTTTTAAGAATGTAATTTTGAAATATGCACAAACTGTTTTATAATACTTTCATAAGATGGTATTTTAGCACCAAAATCTATTTGATATTGCAAAATAAAAAAAAACACATTTTACCCCATTTCCACTATCGGAAGTGAAATTTCGAAAAATCCTCCTTTATTGACCACCTGACCAATTTTATTTCTTGAGATTGACGTCGCAAAAGTTATGCTTTGTGTAATTTTGCAAAACTGCATTTTCTGGATACATTATCGGATTAAAAAATATTAAATTTCAAATAACTGTTTTTAATTAGTTTCCGTTTCTCAAAAATTGCTTATCTGGTATTTAATTAAGATATTATAGAGATATTAACATGGTCAAACATATAATTTCAGTCACGTTCCCAACGGGCTACCAAAAACCGAGCCCAAACCTCAAGAACGATGCGACGACACTGGACAATAAAAAACCGAGTCCAAAACTTAAGAACGATGAGACGAAACCGGACAATCAAAAACCGAGTCCAAAGTTCAAAAACGATGTGAAGACACCGGAAACCACAAAAACTATGGGTGAACAAAAATCGGAAGCCAACCAAAAGAAATCTCCGCAGAAATGCTCGTTATCAAAAGATAATGTTTTGAACACAAAAGTTCCCGTAGCGAGGATCCTGCTACTGAACAAAAGCCTAACGTTTCCCAGGATGTCACCCTCGAAAAAGATAGAAAATATAAATATCGTGTTGCCTATCGAGCCGAAGATCGAGATTTTGGAACGTCCAAAAGAGCCGACGGAAGAGACCAAGTACAAGACCTATCTCGTAAAAAAGTCCGCTGACTCTGCGAAAAAGGGCAACAATGATACAAAGAAGGAAGATGAAACTCTTAAAAAGGATAACAACGGAGTGCTTTCAAAGAGTAGTATTGCAACTCCTAAGAAGAACTATACCCAGATTCCCAGGAAGACCGAAGAGATACCTAAAAAAATGAATCAGGAGACTCCTACAAAGATCCATTCACGTATCGCAGAAATGGTGACGCCATTGAGAACACCAGATATTAAAACGAACTTCAAGATTCGCACCACTTCCACACCGAAGTGCTCGCCAGTTAATCTCTTCTCGTCGACCATCATCGAGGATTACCCTAACGCGAAGAAAACGCTTTCGCCAAACATCCTCGAGAAATCATCCATCTTCGAAAACAGTTTCAAGTTTGATTCTACGTTTGATACCACCATGGACCGATCGGACAGTTTCATGGAGAAATCTGTAAGCACTTTGAGAAGTGAAAATTCTTCTCGGGCTTCTCTTAGTAGGATATCCCCCTGCAGGAACAGTTCATATGAGAATAAGGAGGAAACGAAACCAAGAAAATCTAATTGGTTATTCGAAAATAACATCCGATCTATTGACCCGATTCTGTTTGAGAAGGACGAGTCACCTCGGACGCTTAGGTCTCCGTCTATGGTGCGCAAGATTGTAAAGAAGATAGAGTCACAGAACTCTGTAGAAGATCAATCGTTCAAGCTTTTCCAGGAGAAGAAGAAGAATTCTGAGGCGGACAGAACTTACAACAATTCGATTGTTCAAGAAAGAAAGTCAAAGTTTGAAAAGAACTTTGCGCCTCTTCAAGTCCAGAGGTCCAATTACACCGGACTTGAGAATGTTATTTCTCAAGAAAAGAGATCCGATCATCAGAAGTCCCAGAATCACGATCTTCGGGAGAAGAAGTTTACCTCAGAAACGCAGTCGCCGTGTACCAAGTTCCTGAACTCAAGGAAGAAATCTACGGATCTAGAGAACGTGGTGAAGAGTAAGAAGACCATTCGCGAAAAGAGTCTGGTCCAAGAAATTATTGAAACATTGTCGGCAAAGATAAATAAATCTATCGTGCCTCGGCATAACGACAATCTGGTCGATCCTGCCGGTAAGCAGAACTTCGTGAAGAAGCTAGTGGATGCCCTCGAGAAGTCTGAAATGAACAAAACCAAGGAAAATGTAGTGAAAAAGTATTCCATTATCGAGGAGGATAGTTCCAGCGAATCAGAAGACAAATCCTTCCTCACGTCAGCCTCTCCCAAAGATACGGAAAGCGACTCCGAGCCAAGATCATCTAACGTAATAGACAATGAAAACCAAAGTTTCGATTGCAGTGACTTGACCATTCACGACGAACAAACTGTTGAGGAGGACGATTCCGTTTACTGGATACCCGTACCCAGGTGCAAGCTACCTCGGTCCAGTTCCCTCCTGAGTATAATATCCAGACTGTCCAGCGAGTCTCAGTCGCCGTGCGTAAGTCCGATCAGCGAGAGAAAATTCGATAGCTCAGGACAATCCGCTTCGGATTCCACTCTTAAGAGGACCAGCATTTCCAGGAAGCTGTTCAGAATCGACGAGACCATAGTGTTCGATTCCGGGTATTCAGATAAGTCTGACAAGTCTGCGATGAGTTCCGAGTACTCGACAACGGACTACACTTGGTCCGAGTTGGACACTTTGAATGATTTTGAAGCAGATATCTCGTCTTCGACGTTTAACAGGTCTATCGGTCGGAAGTCTTTCATTGGGCAAACATACTCTGTTCCTTGGTAAGGTATACAAAACGTAGGACCAACTGTCTTTTTTATTAAATAAATACGAAGAGCGACGGGTTTGAGAATTATTTTTTAATTAAATACATTATGATCAGATTTTACTTAATTTTATTAAATTTAATTCATATCGAATCTCACAACATTCTTGAGTAGATATTTTCATATTGTCAAAAACAAAATGTGGAAACGAAATGCAGAATCAGATTAGAAATTACTGCAGTAGAAAAAATAATTTTTGCAGTCAATGTGTTTTCAAAATGATGGATATTCTAGTATCTGCTTTGATACCTTCTAAACAGTATTTAAATTTTCTAGTTTCCTTCATATTTTGTAAATACGAATTAAGATATTGAATATTGCAAAAGTGGCTAAAGGTTCGAAGCAGATTACACAGAATATCCAGTATTTTATGTACAAATATACTCAGCGATTACAATTTTTAAACTCGGTTTGTTCTTCGAAACCAATGTTGTTTTAAAATTGCGTGTGTAGTTGACCGAAGTGATTCGTGATATTCTAATATATAATAATTTATGTCCAGTATATGATTTAATTAATATGATATTATTATATTTAATTATATTCTCGAGTTGTGTACTTCTTATCTAAAAATGTTTGCAAATATTTTTTAAAATGAAGTTTTATATGGGAAACTCGTATTGCAAATTACTTTCTTCTAGTTACAGTAATTTCTTATATTACGATCATATTTACTGTACTTGAACTATTTACATATCAGTATTATTAATTAAGTAGCATCATTCTGCATGAAGAAGCGCAAAATTAAAATAGTAGGTTTAGGAATTATCGCGTATCTGGTTGCAAACGTTTTTACGATTGTGTAAGCAATCTGAATCTGTGAAAAGTGAGATTAACTGTATATAAAAAATTCACAGCTTTGTTAATACACGTATATTTTATTTAGATGATTTACGTCTAGCGAGGGCCGAATACAAATGGATGATTTCGTGAAAAGTGTAAAGGTGTTTATATAGTATAATAATATACATACATACGTGTTCGATAAAACATGGTATTGTTCGCTAAGTGCACAATTTACTAATGTTATCAATGAGACGTATATTTTACATGGCGATTTGAGCAAATGAATGTACTTCTTATCTAAAAATGTTTGCAAATATTTTTTAAAATGAAGTTTTATATGGGAAACTCGTATTGCAAATTACTTTCTTCTAGTTACAGTAATTTCTTATATTACGATCATATTTACTGTACTTGAACTATTTACATATCAGTATTATTAATTAAGTAGCATCATTCTGCATGAAGAAGCGCAAAATTAAAATAGTAGGTTTAGGAATTATCGCGTATCTGGTTGCAAACGTTTTTACGATTGTGTAAGCAATCTGAATCTGTGAAAAGTGAGATTAACTGTATATAAAAAATTCACAGCTTTGTTAATACACGTATATTTTATTTAGATGATTTACGTCTAGCGAGGGCCGAATACAAATGGATGATTTCGTGAAAAGTGTAAAGGTGTTTATATAGTATAATAATATACATACATACGTGTTCGATAAAACATGGTATTGTTCGCTAAGTGCACAATTTACTAATGTTATCAATGAGACGTATATTTTACATGGCGATTTGAGCAAATGATTAATCAGTAAACATTTCTATTTGTTATTTAGAAATAAATAATCATGAATAGAGATTAGCTGATGAAATTTATAAACACTAATTCTGAGAGTAATTTTCTTGTAGACGTTTGTATAGATACTCTTGAAACTTTCACGTGTTAAGTACTTACCGATACTTTTATTGAAATTTAGTATAATTATTTTCATCATTTTTTGTAACTGTTGAATGGCTTGATGAAAGCATCAGAATCTCGAGTCTAATTGCGCAAATGAATGGTATGTTAAAATGGGAGCGATGGTTGATTGTACAATACTGACTTATTTGCTTTGCAGTGGATAATCTTTGTACTTATACGATGTAAAACGAGAGAAAGTTTTATCCGTTACTGTACGAAGTAACGTGTTCTTACGATTATTCTATTTTAGTACTTGGAACTTTTGACAGTGCTAAATTACTTTGCAATTAAAATGTATTTCTTGAACAGAACTTGTCATACTATTATTCCTGTTTAAAATTAAAGGAAATTCTACGATAATTATAACAATAATCTGTATTTGGGACACAAAAGAAATAAAAGAAAGAAACAAGATCATGAACTAAAAACATTTTATTTATTTTTCCTACTATTTATAAATTAAAATTAATAGAATCTGTAAGAAGTATCCCACTATACACATCTTTCCATATGAAGGAAGGCGAAATTCTAAGTCAAAAATTCCTCTTCCACTATTTCCACCAATTGTTATTAATAAAATTATTAACGAAAAAAGTGGAGCAGTGTAGTGTCGCACTCAATAGTCACTACGACAGGGAACGCTAAGCAATAATAAGTATTGTAACAAATAATTAAAATGACAGAAGTTTAGATTAAAATCAAGTGGATAAATATCAATTATATTTTTATAACAGTGAACAGATAAAGTATCGTTAATAGGCACAAGGTGAGAGTTTGTGCGTTGACTTGTTAATCCGTGCTTGAAATTGTCATCGAGTATTTTTAATGTAACTCACGTGCGACGATAAGATTAGGTATGAATAATTAATTATACAATTCTTTCCTTTTCTTTGTCTTCAAAACAGAACCGTGGTCGACAATTTACAAATTTATCATTAAAAAGTATACTATAGTAGACTATTAGTACAATAACTATTGTTTGATTTCTGATATCCTCTAAATCAATAAATAAATTTATGAAAGAACCATTCAGTTTTAGCTTCGATTTTATGAAATCGGAGAAACGCTACATCATACATCGAAGCGATTCAAGTAATTGTAAATAAAATCTATTTCTAAACGTAAACTCGCGTGTTTGACCTTCGGGATGCTTACTATCCAAGAAATTAAGAAATATTGAACTAGTTACTGGTATTACAGTTCCAAACGTCGTCATAGACACAATCTCTGAATGATAGACCAAGAATCTAAGTAGTAAATTAAATAAATAATCCCGTTACAAAATAAAAATTGTAGTAAAAAATGTCAGTGAAATTAAGACATTTTCGTTCGAGGTCAACGTCAGACATTTTAGACGAGGAAAGATCGCAGAAGAATTCTGTCTCCCTTGAGAATAAATATAAAACATACAGTTTCGTGGACTGCAAAAAGGACAATTGTGAACAAAGAAAGGAACACCTAACGCGAAAATCTCAGAACTTCGTGAAGAAATTGATCGCGTCTTTGGAAGGGACAAACGAAGTTTGCAAAGCAGACGATGAGTTTTTAACAACATATTACAGGAGAAACGATGAATTCTATCTAAATTCAGACTATTCATGTGTTACAAAGTCTAAAGCTTCTGATGAAATAGAAAAAACTGGGACAAGAAGTACAATTTTAGATGTGACGATGGATAAATTATCCTTACAGGATTTTAAGCAGGAACAAAACACTAAATCAAAATTTGTTAAAAATGCGTCTATTTACGTTAACGGGAACAAAAATATTTTGCTTCAAAAGTGTAGTAATATTAGAGACATAAAATACACGGAATCTTGTAAATGTGAAAAAGAAAATGGCTCCAAAATCAATGAACAACAAAAATTTGTTGATACCGAGTCGATACAAATGAAACGTGAGGGTTTATTGTTAGGAATAAATGGAAATAACGAACAACAAAGATTCCTCGACTTTTGTTCATCGTTTAATTCTAGTATACTTCAAGTTGATTCACAAAATCGTTCGGACGCACAAGATTCCTGTATTTCAAAACAAAAGAAAAATACTAAAAGGAACATGTTAGAAAGAATATTTTTTGTGAATAAGGAGGACAAATGTTCAGTAAAGAAATTACATGGTGATATACATACAAAAAAACTGAATAGAAACAAAACTTTCAAAGATTTCATTACATCTATGATAAAGAGGAAAAAATCGGGAAATGAGGAAAAATCACAATTCTTCATGTCCAATGGACGAGTACTTGAAAATTTGACAATGTTTGACTCGAAAAGTAGCAGAAAATTACCCACAGTTCCTTATTTTCAAGACGTTGTCTTTCAAGAGGACAAGAAAGGAGATTTAAAATAGGTAAGACAAGAAACATTAACAAAATTCCCCTTCTTAAGATGATTTATAATAACTTTGATTTAAGATTGTTCTGGCTATAAGCTGAAATAATGATACATGTTTGAAATTATACAAATAGTAACAGTCAGTTATTACGCTCGTTGTAGGCTATAAAAAGGAATGGACGACTTTTAAAAGCAAAATGAAGATGGGAAATGTCGTACGAAAACGAGAAGTTGAAGACATAATGAAGAACTTTTGCCAATCATCACAGAAACCATAAATGTAATGACCATTTTAATGAGAAAAAGCAATTAGTCACTAAAGAAAATTGTTGATGAAAAGAAAAGATAAAATATTTGTTAGATGTCGTATTCTTAATTTGTAACTTCAGGTCTCATACGGTAGACTTGTATGAAAATTTTGACCTGCACATTGATTTGTAGAGACGAAATACTAATTTAATTTACTAATATTATATGCTTGCATACGTATGTACGTATGTACTTTTATTTCATTTCCATATTATATTTTTGATATTTTGATAAAACTGTTCTAAATTAATAAATAAATATCCAATTA